GTATATATGTATGTATATACATACGCATCTACATCTATATATGTACATATATACAAACTATAAGAGGAATATGGCAGCATAGGGTCTAAAGATGCATCTTAACTATGAGACCAGGGGACTGGGCCCTTCGGCTCGGTGTCCGGATAGCCGTTGCAGGCACCATACCTTCATGTAGGGGTTATATAGGGATTCNNAGGGATTATATAAGGTTATGTAGGGATTATATAGGGGTTATGTAGGGATAATATGAGGGTTACTTGGGGGTTATATAGGGATTATATGGGGGTCATAAAGGGATTCTCTAGGGATTATATGGGGGTTATACAGGGGTTATATAAGGGTTATCTAGGGATTGTATGGGTTATATGGGGGTTATATAGGGATATTTTAGGGATCATTTAGGGATGATATAGGGGTAATGTAGGGATAATGGAAAATGGAAACTACTATCTAGGGTTTAGGGTTTAGGGCTTTTCAAAAGTAGGGGTGCCTTTAAGGGGAGTTATAGTGTTTATATGCGGTTGTATAGGGGGATATAGGGTTTAGAGCAAGCATCGTACCTTCACTTACTGGTCCTTAGCAAGGACAAAGGGAATTTATTTTGCACGGATTATATTCCCGTATTCCCTACTAAGAACCGGTAAATCTATTTATGAAGATCCAAAAGCCTACTTTCTATAACAATGGCCTTGCTGTTTAGGACCCGGAAATCAAGTCAGTCTGTACTGTTTTTCTGTGCCAACCACCATTTTGAGGCTGTTCTGGCTTCACTAAGAAATAGCCAGCAAAATGATTTCAATCATTCCATGTCGGGCGAAGGTCGTCATCATACTGGTGCTTACGAGGAAGGAGTTGGGGAATAGACCCATCATGATCCCCTATATCAGTAGTACCAATACCTCAGACCCGTTTTGCCTCCCCAACTCGCCCTTCAGCACACGTAAGTCACGTTGTGCATGACTGAGTTTGGCGCGAACTTATGATTGAGTTTAGCACGAGGCTAGGCGAGTGTTGAGGAGGCATTCGTGCTTACTCAAGTGGAGGGTTCTAAAAACCTCATGCGCCGAGAAAGGTACAGGTACTGAACGCCGTTTCTAGGTAGCGCATTGTGAATCGCTGCCACCAGGATACTGGCCAAATGCCGGCGACACGTGGAGAGAGTACCTGGAGATGAGTGAATAGTTATGATCAGCAAAGGTCTTCTGGTGCTGCAGCAAGTCGAAGCATATGAAGAGTGCATCGCCCAGCAAGTCAGCCACATTCTGATCCTCAATGCTATAGTCGATGGCTGATAGTCCAGGATGAAACACGTATGCATCCAAAGTGACTGGCTCAGCGCCGACTCCATTCCCGCAAGGTGGGGCCACATGATCACAAATTGCGGGCTTCTCCAAAAGGCTGGGGTCAACTTGCATGCTAAGGGGACCAAACTGGTAGGTGGCATGCATCTCCTTTATGGCAGCTGCGCTGGAGGTGTTTCTAGTGGAGATGTTCAGCTCCACAGGTATGTTTCCATCGGCGCACAAGCTCTGGTTGACACTCCCGCCCCCACGTGTAAAACGCCACAGCGTGCAACTGCGGCCAGCAACGGAATGTTGCCCGGCATACTCCGAGACGGAGGGGATTGCTGCCCAGCCCTCAAGCTTGTTGTTGATTGGCTTGAAACTCACAGCTGCCGTTGCTGCAGCACGCCCGCCATTAGTACAACATCAAACATGGTTTCCAAAGCTACCAAGCAGCAAACATGTCGTGGAACCCTTGGGGTCCGAACATGGGCAGCTGGCGGCACAGCGCGTGATTTCCACCCGTCTCAATCCAGGTCTGGCTTCCGACGCTCAGAATCGTCATGTTGGTATCCATCCCCTAAAGTCCAGGGTTGCAGTGGATACTGGCTTGGAGTTCTTGCCAAAGCACTTTTGGCTAGCTTTTCACACACCTTGCAACCGTCTCTTTCATGCCTGATACACCTTCCTTGTACTTTTTAAGCAGGCTTAAAGTGTCCCTTGGGCCCAACTTGCCTTCACTTTGCTGAGGAAGGGTCGGATCATCTCCATCCTACTCGCCTCAGTCCCCATTCTTCCGTTGGGAATCAAACAGATCCTCTTCGAAGTCATATAGGAAACTCCATACCCAAGAAAGTGCCAAGGATTCCTAACATTGACCTAGTTGCATTCAGGTCCACATCCTGTGCGAAATATCCATTGCCCTTTGTTGGCATGCCTCAGTCACGCAAAGGTATGTCAGCTTCTTCTTCTACCATGTTCTACCACATACCTCCTGATTGAGGATTGCAGCAGCCGTGCCTGCATCTGTTGTGACGAAGTTTATGGCAGCCCCAAATCGATGCGGAACTTGGGGCCGCGGAGGCTCGTCCGCTGACGCTTCTGATGCGGCCTTGAGCCCGTTGAGCTGCACCTTTTCGACAGCGTCGGCTGCTTGCTGCATAGGGAGAAATACATCAAAGCCTAAGTGGTGTGGTGCAACAGGGCACTTCAAACCTCACGTTCGGTCGGATTATGATTATGTCTGCCTAGAAAACAGAACATTCCCCTCCTCCCCCCTGGTACATCGCGGAGTGGCTGGCATACTGATCAAGCTGAGACGGCTGTGCACCGCTGAGCGTCAGAAGTTGAAGCAGGCATCCAGCCAACACACGCCACGCTTGGCTCATGGCGTCTTGACCTTTTGATACTTACTAAGCCTTTCAAGCTGGCTACAATTTTTGAGCCATGTTCTGTGAATTCTGTGCATTGCAAAGCTCCACTGATTGCCACACTGCAGAGGCTGCAAAGGACAAGAATATGCTGGCATGTTGCGCACGGCCCAGCCCGATTGTCATCAAGTTCTAATACAGGACCTGCGCTCTGTTCACATGTCCTGCATCCTGTGAAGCTGCCAGATATCTCAGGCTTGAATTCAAGCAAGCCCCTTACCGGGAAAGTCGGCAGAAACTCGTGCAGGACATGTGACTAAGTACCATTGACGGCTCTACATTGGGGATACATTATATAGGAATGCGCTCCCCCGCTCCTTGGCAAGGGTGAAGCCAGGCAGGCAACACAAACAGAAGAAACTGCAAGCCTCACGTGCTACACCTACAGGGTTTAGGGTTTAGGGTTGGGTGTATATAGGGGATAATGGAAGAGAAAATGGAAACTACAGAGATTATATAGGGATTCCAAAGGGATTATATGGGGGTTTATATTGGGATCATATAGGGTTTAGGGTTTAGTATATTGGCATTATATTATATAGGGGATAATGGAATAGAAAATGGAAACTACTATAGTATAATACACCCAGCACTCAAGCACCAACAGCCAAATGCGTTTTCAGCCTTCGGATGTTCGCAGCTTTGGGTGTCCAACAGCATGTTGCTCGACAAGCAACCGCGAGAAATCCCTCGCCATCGAAACAAGCCTTGATTCCTGAAGCATGCAGGGCTTCAAGCCTCTGATACTGCTACAGCTGCTTCAGTTGGCACGTCGCACATAATAGGGGTGTTTGGGGGGTCTGTTTGTGGGTCTACATTGGAGTTCCATTTCATTTTCCATCTGGGGGTCTCCCTACACCCTAAACCCTGAAGTGCGTTGGGATATTGGTGTAGAATGGTGTATAGTATGCAATCCCCCCTCATGGCCTCCTTCAGACCGCTGCGGATCGTAGAGCCCTCAGCATGCGCACGATATTAACCCAATAGTGGAGTATATGAGGTAAAGGGGTTATAGAAGTATTGCATGGGGTTCGACAGGGATTGTAAAGGGATCGTATGAGCGATGTAATTATGGGGGTTATCTAGGAATAATGCACAGGCTGGTTGAAACTACAATTTAGGATTTAGGATGGTTTAGGTTTTGCAAGCTGCCAGAACATGTGATCTACATGGCTGAGGGCGCTGCAGGCACATGGGCACTCTAAACCAAGCATGGCAGCGCAGGTTGGACTACATGATCGCACCCTAAACTCTAAACCCTTAACTCTAAACCCTAAACCCAAACTGATGCAATCAGTACCTCTAAAGTTGCTCTGTTCTGAGGCCTACGTATCTGTTCTAAAGGCGTCCTGTTCTCTAAGTGTGACATGCGGCAAATAATTCTGAGTGGGTCGAGGTAAGAGTAAGGGGTCCTCGGCTGTGCGGACGTCTTTTAAGTAAACCATGTTGCTATTGCGGACTTCTTGGAGAGGATCGCAGCCACATGTACAGTCGTTTGAGCAAAGTAACTCATGCGATTCGACAGGTCGATGCTCGGAATGGATGCGCCGGTCCCTCTTTCCAAAGGTGCACAGCAACGCTTGAATCCGCTCAGCTGTCCCAACCTGAATGCAACAGCTTTGCATTTTCAGTAACAGGGTGCAGCATTGTCCTGTCACTCTGCTCAGACACCAGGCAAGCAGGATGAATTGAGTTAACATAGAAATCGATTCTCTTACGCTAGCGTATAGGGCTTTGTGCAGACCTAAGCACTTGACATGCTCATGCAGCTACACCCATCAGTTTATCTGCATGCAAATCACTCCAAATTCCCACTGAGACGTACGGCCGCTTGCTGTGTGACAGTCAGAAGAGGCTCAGGGGCATCTTGCAGATTTGCAGCAAGAGCGGCAATCATAAAATATTGCTGGCCCACCAAGATAACATTTAATCTCAAATAGCTCTCATTTGGCTCTTTGTATTGCGCTCCGCCATGTGTTGAAAGTAACATGCAAGCATCCCCACGTTGCATTTGGTTACCACCAGTATCTATCGTTCAGTGGTCCCGACATGCTGGGGGACGGGCCATAATCCTCAGCATGCCTCTGGCGAGCGTCTAGAGCCTGCCTCCTGTCAGGCGCCGTCTTTACGCACACACTATGGGTGAGTCCTGAGTCGTGTCGGCTGGGTCAACCGCTAATTAATCTAGGAACCTAAATACGTGGAATAGGGATTTCGGGCACTAATGCTGGGTCTATATCCCGATTGTGAGGGGATAGCATGGTTTCAACATGGGGATAGCGGCCCCCAAGTACAGACCACGATATATCATAGTCCTTCTTATAGGGCATTATAGGGACTCCCAGAAGAGGCCCCGCAGATTATCTTCTTTCTCTATTCCAAAGCCTCAAGGTGTCGGCGGCGCCGGCTGCTTTCCTTGCCGGTGCACCAATGCAATGCAAGCAACCACTTAAAACTTGTAGCTGCAATCGTTTGGTAAGCGTGAGAGGCCGTTCAATCATAAGATTGCTACCCACTTACCGTAGTGGGGAAGAATGTCTTCATTCCAGCGCAGGCGGGGAAATACACCTTTCGCGAAGATGGGAGTTTCGAAAAATCATGGTCGCCCTCAGATGTCTCAAAACGTCACCTAATTAGGTCAACCCCGAAAAAGGTACAGTTGATTCTTGGAAGCTCTGCGCCCTCAATGTCACTAGTATGACGATGTTAGCCTCTATATGAAAGGATTTAACTTGTCGTCCCCAAACGGGACACACAAGATGTACACTCATCAAATAGCGTCAAATATTTCCTGGGGACCCCATGTACACTCACCATAGAGCATTTGAGAACCCTACTGCATCAATCCCTACACCTTGAATCCCACTATAGAACAACAGTTTTCCAATTCACTTCCATGTTGTTTCCCATTTTAGTCTCCCTTCCATTTTCCATTGCCCCTAAATAACCCCTGCATCGCCCCTACCTATATCACTATACTAAAGCCCTCATCTGGGTACAAAGCCCATATAATCTCCTTATAACTCCATATGAGCCCAAACCTTGTATTACCTAAAAACGCCTGGAAAAGCCGAAGCTCTAATCCCAAAACCTAAACCCTGAACCCATAAACCCCGAACCCTTAAACCCTAAAGCCTGAACCCTAAACCCTGAGCCCTAAATCCTAAACCATGAACCCTAAACTAAACCCTGAAACCAAACCTTAAACCCTGAACCCTAAACCCTAAAAACCCTAGATCCTAAACCCTGAATCCTAAACCATGAACCCTAAACTAAACCCCGAAACCAAACCTTAAACCCTAAACCCTAACTCAACTCCTAAATCCCTGGCGGCTCCAGCTGAGGCCCAGGCTCTGCCTCCGCGCTCTGCCGAGTTGGCGGCTTTTCGCCAGGGGCCGGTACCTGCCATTAGGGGGCAGTTATATAGGGATTATAGGTTTAGGGTTTAGGGGGTTTAGGGTGATTATATAGGGGTAATATAATGGGGTTATATAGGGTTATGATGGAAAAGAACATGGAAAGTACTATTTAGGGTCTAGGGCTATTGGGGTACCTTTTTGGTGGTCCCAACAATAAGGACCATAGTATTTGGGGAAACTACCATTGGGATTCAGCGTTTTAGGCGAGGGTCGCCGGTTTCGGGTTGGGCTAGGGGCTTCACGTTCGAGTTTTGTTTTTTAGGTGAGGGTTTAGGTCTACGGTTCTCGGCTACGGCTGGGGTCTATGAAAAGGACGGTGGAAACTACAGTATGATTTCCAGTCTGTGGCCTGGGTAGCCCCCATATATCCCGAAACATATGACCCTCAAAACTTGATGGACCATTCATTCACTATCTGGTAACCACCAGTCAGAGAAGGCATTCCGAAGGATTTTTCAAGCAAGCAGTCCAAAGGCTGAGAGTTGCTGAAAAATGGGGTCCCCTTTAAGGGTCCTTCCATGCAGGTTCAGAATCTGTAGGGGGTAGAATAAGGTAAACAGGGGGGCCCTGTTTTTGGAAACTCAATCAGGCTGTTGCGCACCAAGTTCTCGACTTTGAGTGACCTCGATGCAGGCTGCGCGCGCAACTCATGAGACGAACATGCCCTACTTCATGGGTTCCCTAACCACCCCCCCGCTGAGGTTTCCCCCCTCAACTTTGGCTAGTCTAGGCCAATTACTGGGGAACCCCAAAGTAGTGTTGGGGGTAGGGGGTGCTTAGGGGACCCATAATCTGGGTTGCTGTTGAGGAACTTAAGTGAAGTTACTAGATTGGGGAAACTCTATTATTTACTATGTATATATATATATATGATCGAGATACCTTTAGGGTCTATCTGCCGCCTTTGTTTCTTTCTATAATCTATATAGAATTTACATAACTTAAATAATTTAAATAATTTAAATAGGCTGGATTTAAATTATTTAAATCAGGCCAGAGAATTTAAATAATTTAAATCTATCGTATTCTAATTATTTAACAGATTTGGCCTGNNTGGCCTGATTTACATAATTTAAATCATTTAAATA